ATCACATGCACACAAGCTTTCAATGACATTTAAGCATGTTCAAGTTACAGTTTTAAGAAAATCCCTGAAACAAGTATCCCCTTCCAACTACTTCTCTCTCTCCTCTCATGTGTAATCTCCCTTCTAGGGTTATATATGCTCCATTTCCATAACCTCACCTTCATTCTCTCCTCAATCCAATACAATCTGGAGTTTGCTCCCAACCCACTCACTCTCCTGGTGAAGGTCATGGATGCATTCATTCTTCAGACCTGACCTTACTTGACCAATTTCTGCAAGCTGAGTGCATTTTCTTTATTTATTGTCCTAATACCACATTAAAAAAAAATTTTCCCCTTCCTCTATTCTCGCTTGTCTTTGTAATTCAACACTTCAACATATATTGTAGAACATCCACATATGTCAAGAAGTGTATGCTGAGCATATAACAAACAACAAAGTCCTTGCCCCCAAGTGTCTTATATTCTAAGGAATTAAATAATTTTAGGCTTCAGAAGAGTTATAGAGAGGGAAGAACAGTTAAATAGTGTTAAATCTCAATATTGACCTCCTTTCCTAGCATCTTCTCCTGCATCTTAAGTGTTAACACTCTTCATGTCTCTGTCCAGTGCCCCCTTTTACTCTGTAGTCACTCCTTGGCTGATATTATCTATTCACATAGCTTCCGTCACCATACTCATGGCCCTAAACTTGTATTTTCACCCCAAACCTCTTCTGAGCTCACAACTTACATTTACTTACTTATCTCAAGCTGCTGGAGGCTCCACTCCTTTGCTGCCGCGCTATGTAGCTCCCCGCGTCCTGTGGCTGGGAGAGACTGAGCGGTGCCGGAGCGTCTCACTGTGTAAGGTTGCGAGTGAAAACTTTCACTTTTCCTCACATTTCATTCACCTGAGCTAGTCACAGAGCTCTACCTGACTACAGCGGGGCTGGGAAGTGTAGTTTCCCAAATGCCCAGAAAAAGCCCCCAGATATTGGTTCATTTATCCAAGTAATATCTACCGCAAAAAAGAATCATTTTAGACTTTTTCTCTTCCTTTCTCTTACCAATTACCTCCTCAATGTTTCTTTAATTCAATAACATTCTCCATCTATACCTCCATCTTAATCGGGAGGTGTGTTGTCCCAATGGGCCAAGGAAGAACTTGTGGCTACAGCTGCTGGTGGCTGTGTGATCAACAGAGGGACTACAGCTGTCAGCGTCTTCAGGCCGCCTCTGCCGCGGAGCACTGCCCAGGCCAAAAGCACACCCTCCTGGGATGGCCGAGATCCTGTTCTGCTTCTCCTTCAGCCAATTTTGTTTTTTTTCCCCAGGGAAGGGACCAGGGTGAGGAAGGCTGATGAGCAAAACATCAAAATTTAAGTAAAGACTGGCTCAGGCTCCTCCTTTGCGTAGGTATTAATGCTTAATAAATAGCTTGCACACCAAATTCTATTTAAGCATCTGCCTTTGGAACAAATAACCTATACCTGTTGGGTCTGAGAAAGTAAATGATAAATTGGGGTTTGGAAGATGGATCACTTTCAGCCCAGGTGGCAATGAGAACCCTGTCATCGGTAAGGGAAACACAGACATTCCCAGGCATGGGTTTATGTCTAATTATTAAAACTCTCCTCATTGGTGAGTTATGCTGGTATAGCACTGGGGAAAAGGGGTATGCATTAGCTGGTGTAAAGTATCAGACCTTTGAGAAGTACTGGGGAAGCTCTAAGGACAATGGGGACCATGCTACCCTAGAAAAAAGTAATGAAAAAGCATGGGCAATTGAACACCAGATGAGAAAGCCAATAGTCCTTTATGCTATCTTACAAAAACACTCTCCTATTGCTGTACAGCAGACTGTTACAACCACAAACTCAATGAAGTGGTAATCTCAGTTGCAGTGGCTGTGTCAGATGTGATGATTTTTCTAGAAGAGATCAACATGTTCTCAGGTACATGATATAAAGCCACTGAAATGGTGAGTGCACCCTTTCTATTTCAGTGAAAAAAGAGGATCAGAAAGAGTTCTCATTCTATGGGTAAGGCAACAATACACACTTATATTTTTTCTGTAAGGATATGTTAACTCTCTTGCCCTCTGGACCATTGGAGCATTCTACAGAAAGTTACCTGAATTCACAATATTAATGCTCTTATGTTACCTGGGTCAGATGAGTACAAAATTACTACCATGTTCCTTGGTAAGACATGTGTGCTCCACAGGATGGGAGATAAACCCACAAAGATTCAGGGACTTTCAATTAGTAAAATTTCTAGGTTCCCTGTGGACAGAGGCATACCAGGGTATAACTCTAAAATAAAAGACAAATGATCACATCCCTTGCCCTTTCCACATTAAAAAGGGAAGCTTACCACCTGGTTAGTATCCTTGATTTATGGAGCCAGCATGTCCCACCATTCCACACCTGGAAATACTGCTGTGGCCTATATGCTGGGTGACATTAATGGCTGCCAGCTTTGGCAGGACTCAGAGTAGGAAAGAGCTCTGCTGGAGGTATAGACTGTGGTGTAAGGAGCTCTGCAGGACCCTATGGTATTAGAGGTGCTTGGTGATGGGGAAAGATGGCCTGCAGAGCTCGTGGCAAGCCCAAGTAGGGGCATCACATGTGCATTCCTAAGGTGGTGGAGCATGGGATTTGTCTTTTGGAAAACAACTCATGCCCTGGTGGAAATGGAGGCCCTAACCATGGCTCACCAATTGATTATATACCCACAAAAGCCCATCGAAAGCCCACAAAAGCCCATCAAGGGATCTGTCAGATTCATCACTTCAAAAAGCTGGTTGAACCCAGCAGCAATTCGTCATAATACGGAAATGGTACATCCAGAGAGCATGAGGAGTATCAGAAAGCAAGATGCGTGAGCAGAGCCCCCATACTTCTATGTTATATACTGAAGTTGGATAATGTTGAGCCGTTGCCCCTCCTTTGGCTGATGCCTATGACCAGTTGGCAGAGAAAAAACCTGAGCTTGGTTTCTGGCTGGGTCAGCTGAGTGTGTGGGTTCGAACTGAAAATGGATGGTCAACTATCCTGCGACCTCACTAGGACTGGCCTTAAAAGACAGTGGTGAGAGAAACTCTCTCAATGGGTGGAGATTTTGGTACTGTCTTCACTCACATATCCATCCACACCTAACCTGCATGGCTGCAATTTTTGTTTACCTTTTCTAGGCCCTTGACCAGCCTGCCAGGTCCTTCCCCACTGCCCTTGAGTCTGTATTATGTTGACCCTGGGCCATTTCTTCTTCCTCATAAATAGGATGGTCTTTATTTTTAGGAATCAAGCATCTTTTGTGAAATTTCCTCTAATTAAAAACAAGCCAAGTAACTAACTTCCCCACATCAAATCGCCTAATTCATATCCTCAACTCTTTCTGGGCAAGCTTGTACAGAACTTGTTACTCTATTAGTTGATATCTACTATCCTTTTGTAATCATGGGTAGAATATTATGTGTATAGTATACTACTGGAATAATAAAACTCAAATAATAATTGCAGAATTATCATTAATTTGACTAGCATATGAATAGTGTCTATATTTCTTTTAAACATTTTTTAAATCCTCACCCAAAGATATGCTTCTTGATTTTAGAGTGTGTGGGTTGAGGGGGAAGAGAGAGAAGCATTGATGTGAGAAACAACAACTGGTTGACTCCTGTACACACCCTGACCAGAGATTGAACTTCCAACCTATGTATGTGCCCTGACCAGGAATGCAACCTGGAATTTTTGGTGTACAGGACGACACTCTGAGCAACTCAGTCACCCAGCCAGGGCTATTACAACTTTCTTTTAACTGAAAAATGAATTTTATAGCATTATTGGGTTACGTATGTTTTTGCTTCACAAAGCATTTTCTAAGAAGAAGAGCACAATATCTATTAGAAGATAAATAATATGTGATTAATTGGGAAATTATTTTGCAGTTTCCTTCACTCCACCTAACAAAAAAATACAGGCTGATAAAAATCCTAGATTACTGACAAATATGTTTGGCTTTTCATTTACATATCAGAAACAAGCCTGATTTTTCCATTTGTTTTTAAAATGGAGCTCATGTTCTAATTACCTCTCAGTTACTATTTCTAAACTACATTTTAGTAATTATATTCTATTTGTGGTGAACCTTAATTTAATTAATCTTTTAATTAAGTTCAAATACTATTTTCAAAGGACTTTCTCTGCTTGCTATCTTCCTGATTTGATTCATAGAACTATGTATTCCATTACCACCATGTGAGTTTTTCCTTGTTATAGATAATAAAAATCAATAAAATGATGTTTTAAAAAAATTGGAAAAGCTACTGAGCGATAGAATTTAAAAACAAAATAATAATGTAAGGGACATAATTTTCAAGTGAACATTTTGAAATAATGGTTATTTTGGAAATAGAGTTGGTTTTAAAACATAGATCCTTTAATATTGATTGTATTAAGAAATTTGCTAGCACTTAAAAATCATTATAAATGTGCATACCTTAAGGTATTATAGGCATATTTTATTTTAACTTCACGTATAAGAAAACTACTTTAAGGAAATAAAAAATAAAACTACCATCTGCATTTACTTATATGTTTGTGGTGATTATTACTATAAGAAAATGCAAAAAATACACAAGTACATGGAAAGAATCCCATTATATATTATCATGTGGAATGTTTGAACACAATGATTCACTGCAAGGAAAATATATTTCCTTAAGTACTAATAATTATGGTAGTGTAAAATCAGATGTAAAAGTTCTAAAAAGTTATTCATAATTAGTAACATCCTAAACATACTCATCAAGACACCTAATGCTTTAAGTCTTAAAAGGAGTGGGCTAATTTCCTTTAAGTGTAGTTAGCTATTCATAGACAAGTAGGCAAAATGACCACAGAGAATTTTATACACATTTGTCAGGAGTACACTGTACTTTATGTTCTACAAATAAAATATTTTATGTTCAATATCCAAATATTAAAATATTCTGATGTTAGACTAAGGTATATTTTCATAACTGAACCCCTTCCAATGTTAAATACAATGCAGGACTTTTAAAAAAAATTTAAATGGTGATATAAAAATGTTCTTGATAGATGACATTTTTGTTTTTTTCCCATGCAATTATCATACCTTTTAGTCAAAATTAGTTGTACCCCAATTGACAAGACTTAAATCTTCTGGAAGTATTTGATCTATTTTACTCTTTTATTTTAGTACCAGGAATCTTCTTTAAATTGTGGTTAACATGTTTATAGTCTTTGGTCATCTTCTGGCTTTGACCTGTGTGGTATTTTTTGTTGATACATGCACTTTTTTTTCCAGTGGCATACGTTCTTGGGAGCAATAGAAGGAAAAAATGTTTGAGATAATATTTTCCCAGCATTTCTAGTGGGTAAATCTTGAAGATACCTGGGGAAATGTTGGCTTATTTTATATTCATAAATTAATTTTCTTAAATTTGAATCATCTAATTTGATAGAGTAGGGATCATCTGTTGTATTCTGATAGGTATCTGTGGAACTTTGAAGTGTATTCAATTTTTCAGAATTACGTTGAAGGATGCTAGGTAAAATTCCAAGTCTGTTTTGTTTTAAGACTAATCCAGAACCAGGAATAAAAAGTCCTGATTGTTCCTGTTTTGACAGATGACTGATGGTTGTGTTTGAAACAGATTGACGTACGCATCCATTCACCGCTGCATCTTTCCAGATTAAAGGATTATATATAACTTGTCCATCAACAGGGCATGAATTGCACTTGTGAAATAACCAACTGTCAATACATTTTCTATGAAACTTAAAAGAAAAGGTTATAGGTTAATCAGGATTATAATTATCTTCTTAATAATGTATATTATCTATGTACATTTTCCTGTTACATTATTGTGCTACTATTAAAACTAGCAAAGATGGAACGTAATTGTAATTTATCTAGTTTTCTAAAAATATTTTGAAGAGGTTCTTTTAAATATGTAATTTGTTATGGGTCATAAGTTTCTTGACAATAAAATGGTAAAACCATTATAAATGTGGCACAGCTTATAGCCACATATATATGAAGATATAAATGAAAATATATGAATATACATTCATATATATGAAAATAAAATATAATACCCCTATATTATGATGTCCATTTTCACTATTAAAATGGGAAGCCTTTTACGTATATGATTTTTTTAATTTCATTTAAAACTACTTATTCAAGCCATTAATAGTACTGTCTCTAATAAACAAAAATTATTAAATAATAAAAAAGCCATAACCAACTCGAGTTGAAAATTGATCTGATGATGGTAAGATACAAGAGCAATCACACTCTTGGGAAGAAAGACATTTCAACTAAGGGTGGCGCTATAGCTCTAAGTGTTTATGTACTGAAACAATTTCATGTCTCCCATCTGGACCTCTTACTCCCTTCACCTTTTTCACCCAGTCCCACAACCGTGCCCCTTCCTTCTGCCGTCAGTCTGTTCTCTGTGTCTAAGGGTGTGTTTCTTTCTATATTGGTAGTTACAAAATAGTCAGGGGGATATAAAACACAGTATAGGGAATATAGTCAACAATATTTTATTAACTATGTATGATGCCAGGTGGGTACGGAAAATGCTGAGGGAGGAGACACTTTGTAAAAGTATATGATTGTTTAACCACTACTGTATACTTGAAACTAATACAAAAATAATATTGAATGTAAACTGTAATTGAAAAATAAGATTGAAAGAAACAAGTTTATTTCAGAGAAAATCTGGTTGCCAACTGCACAGTAATCAAGCAGTGTTAGGCTTTGATTCCAGTGAGTTTGTTTAAAATAATCAATGATGTTAAATTAAGCATGTTTCATCCAAGGAATCACAAAAATACATTAAAAATTTAGTATTCTAGAAGCTTTTCCTTTTTTTACAGATAGCTAAAGTAGATAAAAGAATTTAACTTAAAGGGCATTTTATCTTTCCTAGACAGTGCATACAGAAATGAGTGCTCATCAACAGGAATCCGCTGTTAGTGGGGCAAAACTGCCTTTTCAATAGTCTCTGCTGTAACTCCTCTACATATACTGTTTAGTTTGAACATCTGCACATAGTACAACTAAAAAGTGAGAGGCTTTGTCACTTTATTTGTGAAAACTGGCCCTACAGGGAAAGTCAAAGTAAAATGTGACTTCTACCTTGTGAGTACATGGGAGCAATCTCACGTATTGACCAAGACAAAATGCCTTCAAACAAAGTCGACACTGGTAGCCTGGAGCAAGCAGCATACTACTTTTTGTGATCACTAAGAGAGGCAGTGACTTTACCACGTGTTTTGGTGTGTAAACCTGGCTGAATGAGAGTAAGCAGAGACATGAATGTTCATATGTGATTACAGATCAGGAAGTAATCAAGCACAGGTAATACCCTCCATATAAATAATGCAGATAAACCCAATGTTTTCTTGAACTGAAGATAATAAATCTCACACACATAAAGTTTAAAAAGATCTATTGTTATTGATCCTGAACAAGATGGATCCAACATTAACATCTTTAACTTCTTAAAGAACATAATTTAGTCATTTCAAATAAAAATACTAACTTGAAATTTTTTGATTTGTGCTTTTTAATTTCAGTGAAACCACAACAGAATTATGATGAGAACCATATACTCAAATTACTTCAGCCTGAGCCAACACTTAAGCTTTGAAAAAAAATTTTTTTTTAAGAAAAATACAACCCAATTTACTCTGTCATCTGGTAGGAAGGTGCACAGTAAGCCACGTTAAATATTCCAGGCCACTATGATAAATTTGTAGATCATAATCTATAAGGAAATTCATTTTACCTTGGGATATATGCTTACTACATCAGTATTGTAAGCATAAGTTGTTTATGTGGCTCTAAAAGTACCAAGCCCATTTTTATACCCAAAGTCATGACCAATATAAATAAGATCATACAATGTAAATTAAGTGCTATTTGATGCCATTAGCAACTGATAAAACAGACAATACAAATATTTAAAAACAAAAGCTCAGTTAAAAGGTAAGATGCATTCCCATTATTCAGTCATTCAGAACAAACTTCAAATATAATTCTTCAGGAAAGCTTATACTTCTTATTACTCTACAGATACGCTTTTACCATGCTATGGAAACTGCTTTACCAGTCATCTAATTGTTGACTAAAAAAAATAAACTTGTATATTTTTATTGTTTTAGATTGTTAACCACTCTTTTTAATCTTGAAACTTTCTCCTTTTATTACACATCCTCTGTCCAGAATGTCCTTCTACCTCTAATGTTCTCTGGCCTCCCCATCAAATCTCCTAAACACTTAGTTATACAGTTTATCATTCTAATAGCTTTAAGTGTGATACCTACCCAGTGCCAAGGGGAAAAGGAGACAGAGAGCTTTCGTATAGGCTCATTTTATAGCTGCATTTTATAGTTCCACAAGAGCTGTGGTCTCCAGTGTGTGTGGAGTACCCACAGAGCATGGGCTAAATATCTACTGGGTTGGATAGAAATATATATGTATATATACGAACAAGCACATTATTTGTCTGGTTAATTCACTGAAATTATTTTAAAAAATTATTTCAATTATATCCTATCCTTTTAAAATGATCTGTGTATATATTATGTACCTTTTGTGTACCTAATATGTTAATAAAAACAGCAACTTTATTTTTTTGTAATTATTAAGTAGTGTGACAAAAGGCCTGGAGGCCTTCCACTAGCAAATAGTCCAATCTGTGTTCTGAAATACAGTCAGCCTGCTTCGCACTCTTCCTCCAAGTGGGCAGGGGAGCGGAGGAATGAGGCAGGAGAGACTTCCTTCTCCTAGAGGCCAGTTACTTCAAAGCAAATCTCAAGTCCCCATGTATTTTTTCTTTATATAATTTGTCAGTTTTAATTTTACATTTATTAAGATGATCATTTAATTACTGAGGAAACCGCTATTTCCCCAACACCAAGTACAACTTCTGGTAGAATTAATAACAGGCAGCATTATTTGAATATTTACTGTGTGTGTTAACTCATCTCACACTCACAAAATTCCTGTGATGCTGGTTTTAGGGTTATCCCCGTTATAAAGATTAAGAAAATGAGGCAGAGAGAAGTGACGTTAGCTAGCCCCAGAGACAAGTAGCCAGCTTGTGGTTGTACTGGGCTTGGATTTAAGCAGCCTGACTCCAGAGCTTTGCTCTTCACTTGCATGCAATAATGTCATCTAATATAAAATAAGTGCTCAATTCATATTTATTGAATAAGGAAATTAATGAAATTATATAAATATCCAAAGTCCTACAATAAATGTAAATTTCACTGAGAATCTCACCGTTGCTTTTCTTGAAAGTGTGGCATCTTTTCTTCCGTGTCATTTTTAATATCTATATGTTTTACAATTTGATTTGACCTTTTTTCTAGTAATTTCCATCTTTGATTTCTCTTCTGTAATAGGTAAAAAGTAAATGTTACTTTGCAAGTCATGAAAACTTTTACTTTGTGGATTAAAATTAATAGGCTGCATATCAATAACATAATGTGGTAAGTCAAATGGTAATGTTGAGGTCTTTTAAAAGAGGAAACTTCAAGTTTGGTGACATGATTTAGGTATAATGTTATCATATCACATTCGTTATTGTGTTGGATTTTATAAATTACAGATAAAAGAACTGGTTGCTTTGTATATCCTTACGAAAAAGAGTTTCTCAAACATAATGGTCTTTGGTTTTTATTAAAACTCATTTAACTCTATTTGAGTGTTATCTATTCTTATTATTCTCAGACTTATTTTACAATAGGACAAACACTATATGAAATTCAAGATGCATACTGTACCTCACGAAATGTAAATGAGTGAGAAAGATGGCAGCAGCTATCAAAACATTTCTGGCATAAATGATATTCTATACATTTGGTACACCTAAAAATTCAAAACATACAAGAAAAAATCCAATTATTTGGATGGTTTTTCCTGAAAAATTCTGGCCAAAACTTCCTGGGAACTATTCAGGTATGACAAGACCCATCTTAAATGTCTCACCCTGTAATAGTTTTCTGTTGCTACTGGAACAAGTTAAAACAGATTTGGCATCTTAAAGAATACCTATTTATTATTTTATGGTGTTGTGAGATAGAAGTCTGACACGGGCCTCAATGGGCTAAAATCAAGGGGTTTGCAAGGTCGCATTTTTTGGATGCTCTAGATAGATCTTGTTCCTTGTCTTTTGCATCTTCTAGAGGCTGCCCACCTTCTTAGCTTACTTTCCTTCATCTTCAAAGCAAGCAATGCAGCATCTCTCTGTGCCTTTCTTTTATAGTTACATTTCCCTCTGACTCTTCTTTATTTCCCTCTTCTACTTTTAAGAACCCTTGGGATTCTACTAGGCCCAGGTAATCCAGGATAATCTATTTCAAGGTCAAGTGATTAACAATCATAATTCCATTTAAAATCTTAATTGCCCTACAGCATGTAAGCTAACATACAGGTTCTAGGCATAAGGATGTAGACATACTTGGGAGGGCATTATTTTGCCTAACATACACCTCTTCCATGATGTCTTCCTGGGGTACCTTAGCTTTCATTTATCTCTTTCTCTAAATTCCCATGGAATCGACAGCCTCTTAGGTATTTTATATCATTTGATTATCTAGTCTTTTACAATTGTTTCATGAATGCTAGAGTTATACTTAGCAGGATATTTCTTGAAGACAGGAATTGTATTATATTCTCTCTCCTCACAAAATGGAGAGATGTATATATAAAAAGTTTTCAATAAAAACTATTGATATATTTAAAACAGACTTCAATTTCCACAAATGTTCACTCTCAGATTTATATCATTTATAAAAATTTTGCCACAGTGGAGAATTCTAATTTACTCACAGCAATATCAGCAATAAAGTAATATTCTGAGCAAATAAACTTATTTTCTTACTCAAGTTACCTAAGCTTTATAAGTCTATTTCCATGAGAAATCTGGGAAACTATGTCCTTCAGTCATCTTTTAAGTAGCAAATGCTCATTTATTCTTTATCACTGTTTATACATACAGGGAAGATTCTTAATAATTAACATTAATCATCACAGCAATGGTGCAGTTAAGTCAATACCACAAATTATGCTGGGCTAGCAAAAGTTAAGCATTTCTATATTTTCACATATCTATGGTTTTTTGGAATTAACTTCTTAAAAGATAAGTAGCTATAGTGTAAAACTGTAAGAAGGACCTGAAAAGCTTTCCAGTTCATCTTGTCTCCTACTCAACCCATTCCAAAAACTACTGGAAATAGTTTTTTTAGGCCAATGACTAATATTTTAGTATTTGAGGAAATGGAAGTTAGTGAAGTCAAAGATGTTAGAAATTCATTTTTTAATTTCTAACAGAGGTTTGATATAGAGGTGAATGACCGTGAGCCAAACCCAAGAGAAGTTCTCATAGGAGAGTGTGGAGCACCCGACAGGGAGCAGAACAGTAGGGAAAGCCTGCATTGTGCGGTCGTGAGAAGAATCATCTGTGAGAACAGAAAGAGCAGTCAGAAAGCTCAGAGTGGCAGAGGAGTACACACACAGCCATTAACAAAATACTCAAAAGTAAGATTTAAAATCATGTACCAAAACCACACATTAACTGTCTGAGGAACACGTTATTAGAACAACTGAGAGGTTTACACTGTGGCTTTCGGATGTCCTCGTCCCCCACAGCTGTTCCTCTGGACATTTTTTTTCCACCTGTAAGCTTAGCTTCTTCTTCTCCTCCACTCTTCTTGAAAAAAATTAAATCACTCAAACAGTGGCTGCTAATGCCAAATCTAAGTCTTCCCTTTTTCTAGAACCCTTTTAATCAACATTCCTAAAACTAGCTGCACACCTCCTGCTAAACCTTTATAAACATTCTGCTCTTCTTCCTCAAGTGAAAATATTCCTTCGTAGCCTTCTCAGGACAGCTGCTTTCCTAAAGACTTTTGCTAATGGTGCTCTTGTTAATTTTCTTCTAGGTGACACACAGAGAAAACAAAGGACTAAAAGAGTTCAAAGGAGAAAGGTTGGGGGGATAAAAAGTTTCAGGGTTTTATGTGTGGGTTTAAAATATATATGTATGTGTGTGTGTGTGTGTGTGTTTATACTTATTTATTTATTGGATTCATAATGAAATTCCAGGAAGACTGAAAAGTAAACTGATGTATTTTAGCAAAATAAGCTTGAAAGAAAATATTTTCTTCTTAACATACAGTTAACTTAAAATTTTAATTAAGAAAGCACAATTTCCCAAGCAGAGGAATTAACTGATGTTTTACGCGGCAACTGTGGGAAAGTTTGGGGATTACTCGCAAAAGTAATAGAAGTTGTTTTCTCTAGTATCTTGCTGTTGAGGTTTAAGACATAAAAGAAAACAAAATAATGCACTTGCTGCTATTTGGAATAGGAAAATTTGATTAAATATTCAGTCAATCTAGTCAATATCCCTCTGGCTCAATCCTAGGAGTTTTTGGCAATGATATCATTGGTAGTTCAAAGGAAGTTACCGAGGGTGAGAAGTCTATTTAGCAAAGCTCTGACAGTGGAAATTCATCCAGGACAAATCAATAAAGGCTGCATCTGGAACTTCTAAGACAGGATACTACTTCACACTCTCAATCACCAATATCCTTGTGTAAGTGAAGAAAATTAAACAATTCATGTTCTGAGGTACTGGGATGACATAAATCACTAGACTGGAAATCCTAAATAAATGCCCACCAATTAAGGAAAACACACTATATAAAGGAGGAAAGGAAGAAGGCAGGCTAGATGACTGGTACTCTAATGCTCAAAGTTTCCTAAAGTTAAAAAAAATAGTTGTTCATAATTTTACTGATGACACTTACTTATAACACTTTCCCTCAATTGGAAATTGTTTACAGTTGTTACAGGGAATTCCAAGTTGTTTGTCCAGTTGCTCTTTCTCAGCTGCAGTCACAAGTTTGTTAGAGTTTTTGAATTCCTCCAAAATAAGTTTTAATGGTGCAAACTCTTTCCTACACAGAGGACATTTCAACATAGAAGTGTTTGATATTGTATCCTGATAATTAGCTAAGATCTTCATGCATTTTATATGCACATTATTGCCACAGCCAAACCTGTTAAAATTAGATTACCATTTGTAAATGCAAAATTATATATATTTATATAAATAAAATGTACTCTGCTACCATCTTTATTTCCCATAAAAACAAATTCTGATTTTCTAGATATAGTTTGATTACATAAACACATACCCTATCTTCCCTTGTCTACCTAACCTATCATCATTAACTTAATTTAGTACATCAGAATTCCAAACAAATTCTTCCCGTTCCAATAAAATGGTGGTAAAAATTTTTCAGCATTAAAATACTTTCCATTTGTAAAGTGAGAATGCATATAATCTTAACAAAAAAGAACATTATAACAGTACGTATTGCTTTTTAAATAAAAAGCATCACTGAGAGCAGGGGCATCACTTTATTTTTCTAGAAATCACAAAATATGTGGTGGCACTCTATTGAGTGAAATATTTTGGGAATATTAAAAATATAAAAATAAAAACATATAAATATAAAAAATAGTTAATAGATTTTAAATATACAATAAAAATACAATATACAGTCATATGAAACTACAATGTGGATGAAAATTTTGGCAAATGATCAGGAGAAAAAAGAAGAATGAAAAAGTTCAGTAGCAGTTGCCCAAATTTTCCAAATCCAAGTGCATTGAAGAATAGCTGACTATGACACTCTCAGTAAACATTTCTGTGAAATTTTGAATTATTTAGGTTTAAAAATAGAGTTTAGAAAAACTGAAAAGAATTTTTTTTCATTTAAAGTAAAACAATCTTTACTTTCAAAAACTCTTTGTAACTACTCCATATCATAGCATTTATTCATGTGTTAAAACAGAAATGTAAAAATTATTCCACTTTAACAAACTTAAAGTGAAAAAGGGAATAAAGTGGAATTATGTGTTAATTTTCACCCTTTAAAATGTAGCCCAGAAATATTTAGAGTAAGAGCAGGACCTCTCACAACCTATATTAGGAAGCAAAAGGAGGCCAATTAAACATAATTGTTTAAATATACATTGTTGATCTATCAACATGTCTCACAATGGAATAAATTACAAAGATTAAATTAGAATTTCTTCATAAGTTTTAGATTTAAAAAATCACCTGCAAAAGGTGACAGGAAGTCTTTTCTCTAAAAATACTTCTTGACAAATAGAGCAGATATCATCTGAACCAATTTCCTTCTGTTTAATGTACCCGTCTTCTTCAATATGTGAGTTTTCATCACTTGCTGCTTTTTGAAGAGCTTGAACTCGATGTATTCCCTGAAGCAAGTCATTGATTTCTCCTTCCACGAGACCTAACTTCAGTGCATCTAATGAAAAATCCCCAAGTATTAAAGTTCAATTGCAAAATTAAAGATACGAAAATGTAACAACTTAGGCTGACAGTTAGCATTTTCTTTCAAATATCAGAAAGACAGTTTTGGTTGAATTATTACACTCACCTTTACCAATTTTTTTGCAGTCCTTTCAGAGCCAATGGTCAGAAAGGTATTTTATAAAAAGAATGGAAGTTACCTTGTTTTTCTCACTAAAAAGAGTCAGTGCAACTAGTACATTATATGGGTTTGGGATTACTTTTATGATAGCATTCATCCTTGGATTGGTGTTATAATTATGTCTTACATTTTGATCTGTTCACTTTTCCATAAACAAGTGTTTTATCAACATTCAGAAATATCAAAAGACATTGGGCACACGTACATACAGGGGAAATAGGGATATTTGAGTAATACTAATATAATTAGTATTTATTAGATTAATAAATAATAGGAGAGCAAGACTCAAGTAATTGTGTTTGTTTTCTTGTCTCATTTTTATGTCCCTAAAAGAGTGTGTTGTCAGCCACATTCTTCACAGTTTTAGTAAATATTCCTCAGGACAGTCTATTAGAAACTACATTGCCTGTACCCTTTGGATGCATATTCTTTGAATTCTGAATTTTCTCCATCCTGCTGTGTCTATAAAAATTGTATTCTAAGTGCATATAGTTTTGATTAGGGCATCCAAGATTCCTCTATTCTCTTGCTTATTCCTATGCTATCCTTCTCCTAAACATGTCATAATTTATATGCCAGCTATTATTGGTCCCCTTGAGTTCTGATACTCATTTTATACATTCTTTAATACATATAGATTAAAATTGTTTGTAAGATAATGAAAAAGCTCCATTTCCCAGAAACTCTCAGACACTGAAAACAGCAGGTACATTTCAATACAGAAATCTCTGTTCCCTGTCTGAGGAGGGGTGGCAGGCGGGATGTAGGAGGCTATCAGACCTTAATTAACCATTACATTGGGGGATGAAGGTTATTTGTCACAGACACAAAGCAACATCTGCTCCCTAAAAAAATGGGGAGGAAAATGAAGAACAAAAGATTGTGCTTTTGGGAACAAAGATTCCATAAGTCAGAAGAAATACCGAAACACAGAAGCGCATTGGAGAAGCTGGTCATAAACTCTTCTACATGGTATAACATGAATTGGAGAATAAAAGGGAGAAACAAACTCTTTTCAAATTAATTTGACTAGTGTGACTGAAAAACTGAACTTTTAATTTTGTTCTGTTAAACATAAGTGGATAACTGATCATCTATAGTTACCAGAAAATTTATGTGTAAGAATTTGGGTATTATGTGAATCTATTTTTTAACTGAATATTTTATGAAGTCTAAATGCAGATCTCACGTATTTTTAATGAAAACAGAGTGTCTGAATTGACAAGTTCTATGCGTAAAGCACACATTACATTTTGAAGATAGTGTAAAAAAACATTAAATATCTTAGTGTTTATATTGATTACATGTTGTCATGATGGTATTTTGATGTACTGCATTAAAATATACTTTAAAATTAATTTCCTTAGTTTCTTTTTATTTTTAAATGATAAATATGGCTACTAGAAAATTACATATGTGGCTCACGTTATATTTCTCCTGCATGGCCCTAGCATAGAAGGCTTGTCAAAATGATACGGAAAATAACATAGAGAAACTAACACTTTGGAGAGGACATCAACTTCAGAAGGATAGAACGGAATAACAGACAATAAAACAAATACCTATGGAATCATGTAAACTAATCGTTGTGTATGAAGTGATTGGGAGAGAGAATGAAGGAGAGAGTAATTGATGTTTCAGAAATGACTTTTTTTAAAAAAAGATTTTATTTATTTACTTTTGGAGAGAGGGAAGGGGAAGAAAGAGAGGAAGAGAAACCAATTTGTGGGACTGAGCCCAATCCACTGAGACACACCAGTGAGGGCCAGAAAAATACTTTCTGCCTATAGTGTGAAGGAGGAAGAAGCAACAAAGTGAAGGTGCTCGAAACAGGGAAGCCACAAAGAAGGGCTGATGAAGGTTGAATGATGGTGAGATTGAGGATGGAGAGATGAGAACAACACTGGGAAGTACAATAGGTAGGATGTGAACATAAACAGGATTTGTTTATGACAGAGGTACTAACTATATGAGAAAATAGGAGATGAAAAATTAAGACGAATCCCAAGGCTTCTGGCTTTGGAGACTAAAGAAAAAGGAAAGCCAACATTTGAGGTAGAGAATACAAGAGGAGAGCATGTCTGAGAGAAATCTAGTGTTTAAAATACTATTGGGACCTCCAAAATTGAGCTGCCCAGGAGGCAGGTGGAAATACGGGTGTGTTGATCTCACTGGTTATAATGGCAACAGCTGGAGACATAAAAAAACAGGAGACATTCCTAAGAGAATATGTAGAGCAAAAGAAGAGTACAAAAGAAATTGAAGAAGATACAAATAAATAAATGTATGTACTATATTCATGGAAAGAAAGAATTAACATCATTAAAATGTTCAAAGCAATCTATAGCTTCAACACAATTCCTATTATGATACCAGTAGCATATTTCACAGAACTACAAAAAAAATTCCAAAAATTTATATGGAACCACAAAAGACCCAGAATAGCCTCAGCAATCTTGAGAAGGAAGAACAAAGATTCAGGAATTATGCTACCTGATATCAAACTATATAACAAGGTCATATTAATCAAGACAGCATAGTACTGGCATAAAAACTGACATAGAGATCCATGGAACAGAATGGAAAGCCCTGAAATAAACCCACACTTTTACAGTCAATTAATATTTGACAGAGGAGGCAAAAACATACAATGGGCTAAAGACAGTATATTCAGTAAAGGGTGATGGGAAAATTGGACATTTGATACACGCAGGAAAACAAAACTGGACTACCTTCTTATGCCACACAAAAGAATAAATTCAAAATGGATTAAGGACTTAAATGTTAGACTCAAAACCATAAGAATCCTAGAAGGAAACATAGGCAGGAAAACCCTGGACATTTATTGTAGCAATATTTTTTTCCTGATATATATCCTCAGGCAAGGGAATCAAAGAATAAACAAATAATCAAAATAAACAAATAGGACTATATCAAACTAAAAAGTTTTTGCACAGCAAAGGAAACCATCAACAAAATGAAAAGACAGCCCACTGAATGGGAGAACATATTCATGATACATCTGATAAGGGATTAATATCCAAAATTTATTAAGAATTTAGAAAACTCAACAGCAAAAAAAAAAAAAAATCCAATTTAAAAATGGGCAAAGGACCTGAATAGACACTTCTCCAAAGAGGACACACAGATGGCCTCTTTGGAGAAGACACACATATGAAAAGAGGACACACATATGAAAAGATGCTCAATGTCACTAATCATCAGAGAAATGCAAATTAAAACCACAATGAGATATTACCTCACAGTGGTCAGAATAGCTATCACCAATAAATCAACAAACAACAAGCGCTGGTGAGGATGTGGAGAAAGGGGAACTCTTGTACACTGTTGGTGGGAATGCAGACTGGTGCAGCCACTGTGGAAAGTTTGGAGTTACCTCAAAAATTAAAAATGAAACTGCCTTTTGACCCAGTGATCCTACTTCTGGGAATATAATATCCTAAGAATCCCAAAACACCAATCAGAAAGAATATATATACCCTTATGTTCATTATAGCATTATTTACAAAAGCCAGGATTTGGAAGCAGCTCAGGTGCTCATCGGTAGATAAATGGATTAAAAAGCTGTGTTACATATACAATGGAATACTACTCAGCTGTGAAAAAGAAGGAAATCTTAGCCTTTTGTGACAGCAAGAATGAACCTGGAAAGTATTGTACTAAGTGAAATAAGCCAGGGGGTGAAAGACAAATCCCGTATGATCTCACCTGTAAGTGGAAGCTAACCAACAAAACAAACAAGCAAGGAAAATATAACCAGCAACATTGAAAGAAAAAAGAAACCAACAGAATCAAGAGGGAAGAGGGAAGGGGGACGAGGAAAGGGAAGGAAATGGTCAAGTCAAGGAACATATATGAAGGATCCATGGACAAAGCCAAAATGCGGAAGGATTGAGAGAGGGAAGTGGGGGTGGGTGGGGCAGGGGAATGTGGTGGTGGGAAATGGAGACAAATGATTTGAATAAAAAATAATAATAAAAATAATTTAAAAAATGTGTATATTTTTGCTTAAAAACTTTAGTCAGTGAACATTTTTGAATGAAATTATGTGTCATGTCAACTATTTCTGGGATCAAAAATTATGTTATTTTTTCTTATAATTAAAATAATTTAATACAGAAAACTGAATTTTTGTTTAGAATCCCTGAAATTTTTTCTACTGAATAACTGGCCATTGTTTCACTTCTTTTTCTTATTAAGTGCTTTTGAATTTGAAGATGAAGTTACTTTTGTTTTATTAAATAGGAAGAAAAATGTTCCAACTGTCTTAAGTGTAACAAATTGGGTTATAGATAGTTGTTAGATTGTCTAGAAAAGTGACTGTCTAAATTTAGAATATCTCTAAATACAAATTATTAAATTTGTTAACTTCAAATTAGTAAAATAAAAGCACATACAACTTACACTCATGATTCCTTGGAAGCTTGAATTTTTTCAACAAGACCCTAATATTCACAGGTAGAAAAACAAAAGAAAAAACAGAAAAAAAAAACCCATTTATTTCTGGTATAACCTCAAAAGGTATTTTTTCATTTTAATTTTAGAATAGAAATGGCATTATAGAATTTTTACTGCTGAATACATAGGGATAAACTTAAAACTCTCATTAGTTTTCTATTATAGCAGTAGTTAAATTTATGTTTTAAAATAAGCATATGTAAAAAAAGGTATGATAAATGGAAACAAAAGACTTGCATCAGAGATATTTGCCAGAGAGAGCCCATGTATTTCTTCATGTATTTCGACATAAAGTCCTTCACAAAGAGAGGCTAGTGAGGGAATTTAGGTATTCACAGTACTTCCTTGAACTTTCCTAGAAGTCTCCTACTCCTAGAAATGGAATGACTTTCTGCATAGAGTAGCAAATGATGTTTTCCTACATACACTGTTATGTATGAGAGAAATATTTTCAAATATCACAGATTAAAATAGAATATGGCTATTTTTTAAAAGTGGGAAATATATTGGGTTGGCCAAAAAGTTTTAATTTTGTAAGACGGCTCTAGTAGCGCTTAGCTGTCTTCAACTTCATTAGAAACAATTTTGTTAGACTGTATTGTGATAGCTGTGATATTAGCATGAATTTAAAAAAACATCAAAATTGGTGAATTTTTCTGTAGCCACTTTAATATTGAAGATGGAAGAAAGTAAGCGACATTTTCAGCATATTATGCTTTATTATTTCAAGAAAGGCAAATATGCAACTGAAAACACACACACACACACACACACACACACAAGACTTGTGCAATGTATGGAGAAGTTGCTGAGACTGATCAAACGTGTCAAAAGTGGTTTGAGAACTTTTGTCTTAGAGATTTCTCATTGGACAATGCTCCACAGTCATGTAGAGCAGTTGAAGTTGATAATGATCAAATCGAGACATTGATTGAGAAGAATCATCATTACACCATGCAGGAGATAGCCAACATACTCAAAATATCCAAATCAATAAAGTTATTGGTGAAAGTGAAAAATGTGTCTTTTAGTTTACAGAAAAAACTAAATGGACTTTTTGTGCAACCCAATATATTAAATTCTTACTGATTATATTAAGTATATTTTACTATATCAAATACTTGGATTGTATTTGCAGCTAGTTTATAGTTAATATACAGAAAAAAATGATTTACATTACATAAATATCAGCACAGAATGCCCTTGCCCTTCTGAAATAAAAATGGGAAAAACCTATTTTAAGTATAATAATAAAACCAAATTGCACGTTTTGAAAGGACCATATTTTATATCTTTACACCAACTCAAGTAAATAACTTGTGTTAGTAGGTGCTTAGTAGAAACTGATCAAAACAAATAATTTGGTAAATAAAAGCATTAGAAATAATAGATATTACACTTTTTTAAACCTGTAAACAAAAGCATTAGAAATATGAGATACATACTATTTCTTAATTTCTTGTTTTTTTCTCTCTAATATCAATCACAAATATTCTATAATAGTATAATTAATGATTTGTTGGTATAAGTATATTATGTAAACAAAATGAATTGAGTTAAACTAAATGCAAATATATATTTTTTTAATTTTCTGGATTCCCTTACAAATAGATTCTGACACTAGAAGAAAAATTTCCGATTTGACAGACTAACCCTCAGTCAAGTCTCACTTCTATCTTGAAAGACTCATTGTCCAATCCTTATTGAAAAGGAAAACAATAAATTAAAATATATACATAATGAACCACACAGTTATCAATGATGCAAGTCAGGAATTTTTTTCCCCTTTTTTATAAGTTAGATTTCACATTTGTACATAATAAGAACATAAAATTGATTTTTTCTTATTAAAAAAATTAATATTCAAAACATGTAGAGGTGACAGTATCTTTTTCAACTTAAACCTTACTTAAAGTGTATTACTTTAAGTAAGCTGTGACCATGTTACCTTTATATTTTCCCAGCATCAAATTTCTTTAATCTTGCAGTACTCAAACCGTGCAACAGGCAAAACATGTAATATACTAAGATGTTCCTTTGTGGAAGATCTTCATTACAAAATCACTTACCAGCATATATGCTTACAAAGTTCCTTTTTTTTCTGAAAAGTGGAACAGTTACAAACATGAGGATTTCCTAGAAAAACCTTTAAAAGAAAAATGCATACTTTTAAAAATTCCAGTTAATTTTTAGAGTTAGAGTAAAACTAAATTAATAGATAATTAGATTAAAAGAGATTTCAAGAAGTAATTTAGTTTAGGTAATTCTGAAACGTTGAATATCTACAGGGACATCTTATTTCTCTATGCCAGTCTGATTTTGAACTTAACATATTCTTTGCGTTGGTTAACAACTTGCATTATCAGTTAAGATTGATTTTAAAAGATGTACACTTAGGCAAATGAAAAGAAATATAATTTTAAAAGCTTTACAAAAATCTATAATTTTTTTCTTACTAAGAGGAAATTTTACCTTGCAGTGAAGCTAAAGACCTGTTTTAGATTTTGGATTTTTGTTTTGTGCACTTGAATTGGTGTTCATTTTATTAAATTTTATGAAAGGAGAATAATTTTGTTCACCCAGTCTATACTGGCTAAAAATATGTATTAAATGCAGTGTTGTAAGCAACAAAGTGATAAAAGGATATGTAAATATGCACAGGCTAGTGACCTGTATTCAGTACTTAAAACGGTTAACACTGAGTTCCAAATTTCCAAGTCAACTCCTGCGAGGTAGTGCGGCGGCAGATTTTTGAGTTGTGAGAGTAGGATATGCGAATATTTGAAATACCTGTGGTCTTTCAGCAAAATTAAAAAGAATTTTTATTCATTAAGATCAGCAATATTAAAAAGAATTTTTATTCATGAAGATCTTTCCAAGACCATTTATATACTTTTAAAAAAAGGGTCCTATAGCTTCAGAGTGACTAAAGAAAAACCGATTTTCAGGATTTAGCAAATATATACAGTATGCAGATCATAGAACTTTCATTTAGTTTCAGTTACAGGGCTAGTGACTGCCAACAATGAATCCCAGGACAGACGTAAAGCAAACCGTACATTCCTAGGAAAAGTCTCATTTTTTTCAAGCCCAAAGATCAAAGAGCCATCATTTTACAAGAGTTGGATGCAATTTGGAGCCCTAGGCTCCAATAATGAACCTCGTCTTCTAAAAAATACTATTTCCCTGTGCATTATGCACATCTTTAGAGTCTGGAGCACTCGCGGGTGGGGTGTGGCAGAGAGGAGCTGCTGGCACGGCGAGGGCGGCTGGATTCAGGGTGAACCTGGGGGGCACGGGCGGGAGGGTAGTCGGCTGGGCGGGAGGGGAGGCAGTTGGGCGCGGTAGTTACTCGAAAATCCCTGTTTTCCGGCTCCTCCTCTCTCAGCAGGAAGCCGGTAGGGCCAGTCTCTCGTAGGAGGTAGATACTGCTGTTCAGCGCCAGGCGTTGTTGCACCCTGAGGCGGTGGTTGAAATGTCTTCGCCTTTTAGAAGCCTTAGAGCCTCCGCGGAGCATCCCGGCTGAGTGCGGGCGTTGGCTGCCCCGGGAGAGACCCTCGGAGCCGCCCGCCGCTCTCCTTGACAGCCGGTTGCTCGCCGGTTGCCTCGGTGACGGAGGTTGAGCTCCGCGGTGTCCCGGCGTGCACTGCGCCGGGCTTTGGCTGGCGACAAAGGCGTGGGTGGGTGTCGATTCCTCAGTTCGCAACCGCCTCCAGTCTTTGCTGAAACAGCGCTCCTGACTGAGGAGTCTCTGCACCAATCGGCTGGCTGGTGTAAAAGCTGGCGACGGAAGGCAAGCTGTCAGATCTCTTCCATCCCTTCCGCCGGTTCCTCGCAGGCATTGCTCTTGAATTGTGTTAGGACAGTCGCCCAACCCGGTTGCAGTTTGGGCGCTGGATGTAAAAATTATCCTGTTTATTCATTATCTTTATCAGAAAGCCCAGACCAGTAGTTAACGTTCAACAAAATTCCACAAACATTTCCCGATTGCTCACTGTGTGCATAGTCTGAGCTGTCGCTGGGCAAGATAAAAGATGAGGAAGAGAAGAATCTAACCTATTAAGTGAGATCCTTAAATCCGGACGTGTGTGTGTGTGTGTGTGTGTGTGTGTGTGTGTGTGTGTGTGGTCTCTAAACGTGCAAGTTTGAGTAAGAATGGGTTTATGGGAACGGAGGTGCGGAATTCATTGACCGTATGCCTTTTAAACATACAAATCCCTTAAGATTTTAAAGGTATACAACTTTGTCCCAATACTTCAAATTGTCTTTGGGCTTTGTTACCACGTTCTAGAGAGGGAGCTGTAGCAAAGTAGGAGTAAAGAAACTATATTACCCGAATCTCTGTAAGAAATTGAAATCAGGAAATAGCCTTGTCCCATTTTATCAGGGGAGGAAACCACGACTAGATTATGTCAAGAGCAGGCCATGAAATGAAAGGAGATGATGGAAATGTCAGCTTTCAGATGAGATATCCAAATAAACACCATCCAATCCTAGGTCTATGGTTTTAATTGATTACATTTTATTTCTACTCTCCTATTCTGACTAATAACAGCTCACATACCTATTACCATACTCCTAACTTTACCATCAATTGGATGGTGCTAGATGTTTGTTAAAGTAAAACATTATGTATTAGGGGAAAAAACTCACATTGAAACCAAAAGAATATAAATTGTATTCACTTAGTTTCTTTATTAATAGATGTAATTCAAAAACTTCAAAATAAATTAGTGGCAATCTACACTTTTTATAACAAGATGAAAAAGGTTTCAGAGTGAAGGCACTTTATTTAACCATCCTTTCCTCCCTCCTCTTTCTCCATATATCTGGTCTGTCCAGAAAAAGTTCATCCATTATTAAAAGTTCATCCTGTTATCCCGTATAACAGGAACGGTTTGTACAACAATGATGTAACAAGGCAGCCAAGGAGAGTGGACTGGAATGTGAATGTGTGAATAATGACAATTTCACTGTACAAGTCAGTAAGGGCATTAGGTGCCATTGAGTGAACATGTGTACTGTGTGGCTGTCGCATTCAAAATGTCAGCGAGCAGGACAATGAATCTGCATCAGATTTTGCGTTAAGCTTGGACATTCCTCTGTGGAAACTATTCGGATGATTCTAAAGGCTGCAGCTATGGGCAACTGGTGATTGGCGGCTTCATTACGACAACGTGTCCACTCATGCATCACATTTTGTGCAGAGTGTTTTTGGTGAAACATCAAATTACCCAGGTGACTCAGCCCCCTACAGCTCAGATTTGGCTCCCTGAGACTTCTGGCTTTTCCCAAAACTAAAATCACCTTTGAAAGAGAAGAGATTTCCGACCATCGATGAAATTCAGGAAAATATGACAGAGTGACAGATGGAGATTGGGAGAACCCTGTGAGATCCCATGGTGCCTACTTTGAAAGGGACTGAGGCATCATTGCCTTATAACAATTTTTCTTGTTTCTTGTATCTTCTTCAATAACTATTTCTTTTTTTCATATTATATGGCTGGACAGATACCTTCTGTACACACCTTGTATGTTGTGTGTGTGTGTGTGTGTGTGTACATACACACATATAAAACTCATATCTCCATATATGTTCTTTATCTCCATGTCCATTATGTATAATATATAGTTAATTAAGAATTACCTTGAAGGTAGCTTTAAAAAAACAAATAGTAAATAACTAGTAAAACTGTTGTGTTTTATTTATTATAATTAGGCAATGAATCTTCATGTGTAAAATGATAAACATTTTCAGAAAGTTTACATGTTTAAGACACAATAGTCATGTAAACAATATAGGTTTATAAATTCCATTTTGGGTGATGATAAAAGCAGCAATATTCATGCTTTCATGAAAATTAAAAAGAGAAAGCACAGATTGCTAGACAGAACTTCAGTCTAGCTGTAAGACATTTGTTTTTGTGTCTGTCAGTTAAGACTTTAAAAACATTTTAAAAGCCAGGTGACTATCCCATATGTTTGCTTCATTTCTTAAGAATGTGTGACAGGGGTAATATTTTGCAAATATTAAATTAGGGAATTAAATTCTCTTTTAAATTAGCAGCATTCCCCTCCAAGTTACATTTTGAAGCATATTGCCTCAGAAAAGAGGAAAGTGGTTAGTGCTAGAAACAAGTATTGATAAATTTTGAAATTCACTAATGGTGCTTCATATGTTTTAGCTCCTTTAGCTATACAATTTGGTCATGAAAGAGTGGAATTAATGTTACTTTTGCTCCAGATTAAGGTATAAAAAGATGGACCTAGAGTATTAGACATTGGAATTGTGTGGAAGAGAATGTCTTATGCAGGTGGAAAGAAGAGTAATAAGTCAGATGGAGAAGTCAGCTACCAATCTCAACATGGGTGTGTGTGGGTTGGGGTGAGGGTGGAAGTATGTGGAGGGATAGGCCGAAATATTGAAATGGGTTTCAGAAGTTTGAGAACACCTGGGACAGGTGTGTGGGGAGAGTATGCTTGCTTCTGGAATAGTGTTAGGGAGGTGCAGCTACTAGGAAACTTCAGTTTTTGACTTAGTGCTCTAAGACATGGTAAGCAATACGCAGTGGTGCCAATAGGAAGAAAGATAGATAAATGAACTGACTGTGATGCTCTCCTGTTCAAGGATTAAATGCATTCAGATGAACATAGGAGTTTGTGTTTACTCTATAGAATGGGCACAAAGAGATAATGAGGAGGCTGAACTTAATGATTTCAAGACTAGAAGCAAATAGAACCAAATCCTTAATAGCTACCAAGTAAACCTTAACATTCATCTCAGCTTGACTAAACTTTAGACAGGTTTCTTCCTGACTTTATGTTCCTGATCTCCTTTTTCTTAGAGGATTTACTTTAGAGAACTGTCAGTTGTAAATTCTTTCTCTGCTTCTCTGAGATATAAATCTTCTTCCAATCTCTTGCCAGTTTTACAACCTAATGTCTTTTGCAAAAAAAACTGGAAGCCATCTTTTTCAAATGAAATCATCCAAAAAGATACTGCTTTTGTCTCCCAGTCTTTGTGGCAATGTGGGGCCTAACTCTGTGGAGTCTAACTTTGATAATCACCAACTAGCAAACACAAAAATCACATTCTCTTCCAGTACTTTTCCACTAGCTCTCTGCAGGCTTCAAAACTCACACCTTTTGTTTTAGTATAGTTGAGGCCAATCTCTCTTCCCTATTGCAGTCATCTTGAATAAAGTATTTTTTTGCCCGTTTAACTCTGCCCAGTGAAATTTTTCTTTGGCCCTAGATACCATTTATCTAAACATATTTTAATTATTAAATTAGACTAAATTTAGAATTTACTGAGTATTTTTCTTTTTCTTGTAATCAAGGGAGGTTGGTTAGGGAAGGTGATTGGATCGAACATACTTCAAATTTTTGCACATTCAAGTGTAATATAAATTTGCAAATCACTATGATTATGATTAGAACTTTTGGTTTAAGATGCCAGACTGAGTAGATAATGTTGGTTCCTCTTTCATTTGGAGCCTATGGGAATGAAAAATTGTAAAAGTTTGAACCTCTGACATTAAAGAGAACTAGAGAGAGCTGAGATAGGCAAAATTCTAAGAGTGACCCCATGGCCTTTGTCCATGTGTAATTTCCTCCCCTATAAATTTCATGTTACATGAAAAAATAGATTTTGCAGATGTACTTAAGATTATTAATCAGCTGATTAGGTTAATTAAAAGGGAGCTAATTTGGGTCATCTTAATCACACAAATCCTTTAAAAGCAGAGAATTTTCTTTGGTTGGTAGCAGAAGGAAAGATCAGAATTGAAGCATGATTCTCTTGTTGGCCTTGAAGATGGAGGGGACCAGGTGACAAGGAATGCTAGGGAGCCTCAGGAAGAGGAGAGCAGGTTCTGGCTAACAGCCAGAAAGGAAATTAGAACCTTACACCTATAGCAATAAGGTGCTGGATTTTGCCAGCAACCTGAATAAGGTTGAAGTTAGATTCTTCTCTAAAGCTCCAAACAAGAGTACAGCTTGGTTAATACTTTGATTATATCCTTATTCCCTGAGTAGATTGAAAAGGGCTCATTAAGTGTAACACATCTGATGAGGTGGGTGTATATGTTGGTCAGGGACCAACTCCAAAAGACATCCTATATGCATGAGGAGCTGTGCAATACATTCCTGCATGCTGCATGTGGTGGCCCTGAGTGCCCAGTAACTAAGACCCACGACAGTAAAATGTCCTCAGGAAACTATGGGAGTATATGCTCCACTAAAACACAGAAGTAAACCAATAAAGAGAAAGACATAGGCCACAGGCCACAGGAAATCTAACGGAAGCTATGGATGGCGGGATTCCCTGGATAATAATTGTGTTCAAGGAGTACAGAAAAATGCTCTAGACTGGAACAGTTTAGAAAACTCCAGATTTGTTTTTTCAAGAATATGAACTTGATAGAATATGTGATGTGTCTGAAAGTTTTGAGAGGACATTTTTTTTTTGCTATGATTTCAAGAGTTTCTGGTTGAATCAGTGATAAAGACAGAAAA